TAGTACTAAAGTGTGGGGAGACGTGATGATCAGAAGGGTAGTAGGTGATCCAGACAATGGCTACTACGTATAGGAGCCCACATCACGTGTAATCAAGCTGACATTTGATACAGATGAGTGGGAATAGCCTGGCCAAAAGCCCATGCAGATGTGGGACTACACAGTGAGAGGGGCTACAGAGTGTCCCGCCAGGACCTGCCTATTACCACACATTGCTGCAGAGATAGGAGCGAGATTCACATGTGGATGCACGCCTACTGCAGAACCTGTCCTGGGCCAGATATTCCAAAATTATGCCCACAACCTGAAGTCGTTGCAATGGCAAATCTTGCATTGCTGCCTCCCCACCCCTGACTGGCTTGCATCAAAAACAGACCTCGTGCAGAAAGGCTTGCTATCCCATCTGCACCCATCGAGGTAGAACAACGCAGCCAGCCAGGGCAACACTGGAACATCTGCACCTATCAAAAATATACTACAGGTTCGTTCATGGCTTAGGAAGGTCGGCAATGCTTATTATGTCCCGATTCCCATTTGGCTCGAGGACGATTCTGGCATCGAATGTTTTGAACAAACCACCATAAAAAGTTTCAATCCAGGTTTGAACTCACGTGGGAAAATGAAACGTGGCAGAAAATGAAACGTGGCAGAAAACGAAAAACCTGTGGCAAACATAAAACTTGATAAAAGTTGATAAAACGCATGTGCTCACAACGTTACAAATTGCAGAACCTCTATGATTTTCTTGCCGGGATGCTAACTTATGCAATGAACCTGATCTTCTCCGAGTGTTAAAAACAGTTTCTGAAGACAGAAAGACGATAATAATTGAGATAAAAAACAATGTCGGTGGTCGGGGGCTGAAGGCTTGGCGTCTGTTGTATGGTCATTCAAAAAATGAGAATGCGCTGTTGGAGGATGGTAAGAATCATATCGAAGGAGGTGGTGAGTGGACCATCACTGAACTGGTTCGGACTCGCACTAAGACCGAGCTGAAAAAAGTCGAGCTAATTTCCCTCTTGAGAGCCCTGTGAAAACAAAAGGATCTATTTAAAAAGAATTTGGATGAACTCCTTGAATTGAACGGTGTGGTAAAAACCATTAACCAGCACTGAGGTAGGCAGATAATTCGTGGGTTGCTAACCGATGCCTGTAAAAAATGTTTTGGTATTAATCCCCGTGCTTCTGTAAATATAAAAATTCCCTTTTGTACGTTAATTGATAAAAATAAGGTTGAAGATTTTGTGAAAGACTGGATTTGTGGCCAAACCCAACCAGCATCATTAGCTAACCTGTATGCAAAACGGACTCGGGCAGTTTGGCTTAAAGCCAAGTGAGTCGGAAACATCTTGCATAATCAAAAATGTTTCACACGCTGCATCAAATTTGATTGTGTGTGTGAAAATTTCGATTTGACTAAGATTAACGGACACATTGCGGTTAAGCTCAGTGAAGTTGATGGGCTAAAGTCGTTTCTCGACAACGCAAAAAATGTGCCTTTCCCAGGGTCTGTGGTAACCAGGGATGCACCGAATTGAGCTTGTAATGAAGCACTTGATGGGCGGCGAAGAACAGGCCTAGTTAAGAACCTACTAAGGATTGATCTTGGTACAGCTGGGAAAAAGGACGTTGGCATGCCAGATGGTTGTGTCCTGAGTGAATATGTTTTTGGCGTTAAACAGGCCTCTGATGGTCTTGTTCTTGCCCCTCTAGATTGAGTTTCCAAAGCGACACGAGCAAGGCCTTCAAAAAATGTTTTTGTGTAACGACAACTATGAAAAAATGACAGAAAATAAAAGTGATATGCTTCTAATGATGAGATCTGGGTATGAAGGTGCGGGCCTTTCCGATGTTGCAAAATGGGTCAGATGTGGAGAGCTGCAATTTGCCTACATCATGGCAAAAGAAAAGGACAAGGAAAAACGGAGACCGATTGCCCTGTCGTACCAAAGTTCGTTCCGTGCTCCATCTGGTATCCTATCTCTGGCTCTTAATGTATTGATTAAGAAGACAAAAGTGCCTCATTTTAACCTTCGGTGCCTAGGCAACCTGCATCAAGAAATCGAGAAAGTTAACCACAGAGGAGTGGCATCTACCCTTGGTGTCATTGCGCGGACATATGACATCACTCAACTCCCGTATTTGGAAATTCTCCAGGTTGTGGAATGGTTGGTTCAGTTGTTTTCAGATCAAGGTATTAGATGGATCCATTTGAATGTGAGGAAGAAACTTGCCACTTTTGGTAAGTCCCATGGTGAGGCTGGTTGGAAATCCATCCGCCTCAGCAAATTGATTACATGAACCCGATATCAGTTTGATAACACAATGTTTCTGCTGGCAGACGCAGTCTTTCGTCAAAAGAAGGGCATCCCAATGGGGGGGAGAGCAAGCCCCCCTCTTGCATGCGTCATGTGCACGCTTTCATAGTTCAAGTTTATGGGGTCACTGGTTCTGATGTAAAATTTTTAACAGGAAAAAATTACATTGGTGATCAGTTAATCTTTTCGTTTTTTTTCGGAAAGATGACCCTGAAGGCTTTGAGAAAGTCGAACAATGACTGGATCGAGTCACACAATGCTATCCAGAGGGGCTGGTACTTGAGCGAATTGATTCTGGGTCTGGGATTTTGGATATCCTGGAGACCAGAATGATCATTTTCAAGTTTTCTGCGTTCGTGCTCGTATCTCACGAGTTCAAAAACGTGGGGACAGTCTGGTCCCCAGGTTCGCTATGACTTTGGACCTACAACGATTTTTTATCATATGGGCCAAAAAAAGCAAAATTCGCTGTAGTGGCCAATACCATCCTCTGTATCACGGAAAATTGTAATGATCTGGGTATGGTCTGCTTAGGGGTGCTTACCCTTGCCCTGGAATTGAAGAAATTGGACTACCCCAAAAAGGTAGTCATCATGGGCCTCGAATGGATGAAACGAAGGGAGAACACACCCTCTTGAGACCGGATGATTGAGCTCGTCAAGAGCATGTCTTAAAGAAATGTGGCATCAGCCGCCGTAGCTATCGGATGCAGATCTCTTGGATATTGACTGCAGAGTAAGACAATTTCTGCTGCAAGGTGGAAGCTCTGCATCCGCAGAGTCATTTCTGGCAATTTCAAGACAGTAAAATGGTATGCCCCACGGCACAAGAGAAGTGGTAAAAACATGTGAGCTCAGCGTTCGGATAGTAAAATGGTAAAAACGTGTGAACTCAGCATTATCACGATTTCGACGTGCGTAATTATTTTTATTTTGTTCTTTTTCTTTGTTTGTGGTACACCCACTCGGCGTTATGCCAAGGATGCTGCGCTCGGCGATATGGTTTTGAGTAGGATAGGTCCTATGGGTCGAATATTATTTTTAAAAATTTTGTGTTTGTTTTTTGGGGTCGATGCCGTGCGCTTCCATAGGCGCTGCACTCGAAAGGTGGTTTTGGGTAGGCAAGGAATGTATATATTGTAGGATGGTAGGAGATTGGCTACCTCAATCTGAGTGACGTATTGAGTGGAAGGGGTTGAGCTTTTGGTGAAGAGTATATGTTGTACGCCATAATATTAATGCTCAAGTTATCTCCTTCTTTGTTCTATCCATGTGTGTGTAATCTTCTCTCTCACTGGAACACTGCCTTCTGGCCTGCCCGATGGTTACCCAGATATGGAGATGGTGGGACACGGCGTTTCATGCCCTGGCTGGCAGCTATATCCCATGGGACCTGGGCCTCCTCCTGCTCAGTGAAAACCAGCACCTGATGACACAATGGTCCCCCTTTGCCACCAACCTCGCCGCCTATATGAGGCTGCAAGTGCTGATGCTGGCCTTGAGAGCTAGATGTTCCTTCGAGAGAAAGGACCACCAGTTTGGACTGCAGCAAGCGCAACAGGCGATAGAAGAAGAGAATAGGTCCCGTACTCACGAAGCCTGGAAGGCAATGAAACGGGACTACCTGCAGGAAAAAGCCCCCACGGCCAGACAAGCCCTTCGAGAATCCTATCTCCAGATCTGGCAGGACCCCAAACGAACCTTCTCCGAACTGGGGGACAGGATTAACATACGCTGGAAACCGTGGAGAACAGCAGAACCCAACTGGCAAAAGAGACCCTTGGGAGACATTCAAGCCCCATAACTCCAAACTAACATTGTGCTGATCCCGGATCAGTCAGTGTCTTCCGCCCCCTCTCCCCTGATACAGATACCGGTGCCTGATTGGGGAGCAGCTGCAACACGCCAGGATCAACACCACCGCAATCAGCAATCGCAGAAGGACAAGGCCAATGGCGGACAGCAGCAGGGTGGCATCATGCCCCCCGATAGCCGAAAGGCGGAAGACCACATAGTCCCCTCCGCCGCGTCGGGAATGGGTTCTGGAGAGCACAGAGCGGGCCAAGCCTGATTTCGCCTGCAATCGCCATGTAACTATCTGCACAACAAAAGGGTGAAGGTGGGAAAACGGGAGGTGTGTTTGCCTGTGGAGGCTGAGGCTAATTCACAAGGGACAGCAGCAGCCACGGGTCCCATGGATGCTATCACTTCTGGTACCTGGTCATACAGCCAACCGCTTGGGGCGGCAGAATGGGTCCGCATGTCGAGCATGTCGTACTGTAGAAAAGATCTGCAGCCTGCTACCGTTTTGGTGAATGTCTGTACAAACATTCAACTTTAACAATGCGGACGCTGGACCCATTTTCCAGCAGGTGCTGCTCCCCACCAATAGATGGAGCCCCCAGGGAATGCCAGTGGTGTCTGCTCTTATCAGCACCCCTAGCACTACCTCAGGTGTCTTCCCTCAAAAACAAAAAAGGGCTGGTCAGTTGTATGATGATATCTCAAGCTCTGTTACTGCGGGCATCGCTCCCTGTCTCATTGCCATTCTTCTGGTTGGCATTGTTGTTCATTGGTTTTGTCTTTTCTTCAGCTTTTGTCGTCATCACTGTTCTCATTGCTTGTGTTGTTTTTTTGTTGATTGGTTTTGTGTTTGCTCTGTTTCCATTGCCATAATTATTCTCATCGTCATTTGTGTTTGTTTTTTGGTTTTGTTTTTCTTTTCGCCGTTGGTGCTGTTGTCGCTGGGGAGAGTCCTCTCTTGCTTACCCCATGTCCAGCTTGTAGAGCACGACAGCCATCTTATGTGCGTACTCATGGATGTAGTGGAGCTCTTTCTTCAGGTCTTGGAGCTCCTTCTTTTTCTGCCATTTGTACTCTGAAAAGTGCTGAAGAAGCTCGTTCAGCTCGTCCGACTTAATTTGCAGAAAGTACTCCCCTTTTTGTTGCAGTCTCGCAATGTCCCTCGCCTGCACCAATTTCAAACGATTTAAAATGGACATCTCTTCTCTGTTTGAGTTCCTCCTTTCTTTTCTTCTTTGTCCTCTTCTCTTCTCTGCTCTGCTCTGCTCTTCTCCTCTTTTCACATATCCTCTTCTCCTCTCCTCTCCTTCACTCTTTTCCTCCCCTCTCCTCCTCCCCTTCTCCTCCCCTCTTCCCGCCACCTCTTTTCTTCCTCTTTTCTTTCATGTATAGAGTCTAGTGTGAACCGCGCAAGCCAGTTGAGTAGGAAGCAGCCAGCAACAGCAGGATTGTTTGCAGCTATCACGACTACCTTCTTCCCCCGAACATAACGCATATGCGTTGTATTCAAGTTTTTGAATTTGAAAAAAAATCGAATAGAACGCATTGTGTTGTATTGGAAATTTAGGGCTTTTCGAATAGAATGCATATGCATTGTATTCGAATAGAATGCACCCTATGCGTTGTATTCGTTTACAACGCGTATGCGTTATGTTCGGGGGAATAAGGTAGCTGCCACAGACGCAATCATGATATTATTCCAGATGGATCACAATGATATTATTCCAGATGGATCACAAATCCTCCTTTTTTTTTTTTTTTTTTTGAAACATACTTATCCTTCCTTGCCTTGCCTCACTTTTAATTCTTATGGCATCCTAAGTTCCTGTGTCAACAGATGATCATCCGCAGTGTCCTCCTGTCGCTCATCTTTAAACCAATGGAAGATAAGTCTCTCTCCTTCTACGGTCGCTACTTTGCCTTGGGCTAGTACCCTTTTCTGGAATTTGGTTAGAATATCCCTTGCCTTTTCTGGGTTAAGAGCCACTTGCTTCTTTGTCCTAATCCATAATGCCCTAATCTCTGTCTCCAACAGGCTATAGAGAGTTGCCTTGGCTTCCACTCTAGTCATCAGAATCTTGCCCACCACCTGCTGACATCTTCGTTTCCATATTGTCCATAAAGTGTACTGTCTCAGTAGACGAAAGATAAATTTATGGCCATCCCGCCATTCCTTAGGCACCTCGCTTCCTATCAAAATTAATTTCCTGTTTCGCGGGAAGGGGACGTCCGTAGTATGTGTCCACAATGAACGAGCTATGGACCAGAGATGATCTGCTTCCGGGCAATGGAGCAAACAATGGACAGAGTTTCCTGAACGCCCGTCATACACATAACACAGTCTTGATCGTCATCATTCCTATTGAGCCTGCTCCACTTATCGAACAGCCAGACATTGACTGGGAGTGCTACATGATAGATAAGCCACTGCATGCTCCTGACCTTGGCCAATCTGATACTGTGCAAAGAAATCCTCCTTTTCTCTTTTCGTTTTTTCCTTTTTTTACTAATCTGGCCTGATGAGCCGTGGATTAGATATTAAACAGATCACAACAGATATTATGTTGTTCTTAGACTAGAGATCAAGGGAAAAAAAAAAAAAAAAGTATATCACAAATGCTCCAGTCTATTCGTGGGAGCAACACATTCTGGGAATTGGGTGCAGCGTCCCTTATGAAAATGCAAGAACAATTTGAGATACTGGGGCCATTACCCGGCCTTCGGCTTAGAACAATCACGATAATTCAAAAAAATCCATGAACAACTTTGTAGCCTCACATCAAGAAAACCTACCACGTACGAACATTAGGAGTGACACTCAATATACCAAACCGAAACCTACCATGGCTGTCATGCTCTCAAAACCAGGCCTCTACCAACCCCAACATGCTAATTAACAGGACAGCGCGACCCACCCCAGCTCCTCACAGCGTTGTCCTGGCGACAGCCCCCACTTGGGCACTGGAATGCCTTCTACCCTCAGCAACCTCACGCTCCTGCAAACAACAGGTTACAGGGCAACGCCCCAGCACGGGCTAGCCATGAGTTGTGACTATCGTAAGTGACCATGTTTTAGTTATTGCCATGATGGCCCTCATTGTAGCAATCGTTGCAAAATTCACGAGAAAGCACAATGTCGTCCAATTGCAAAAAGAAATCAACGAACTTGAGAGGAGGGAGAGATAAAGAAGAAGAAGAAAGAAAGAAGAAGAAGGAGATGTACACCAGCAAAAGACCAATGACAATCCCCCCTTCTCATACCAACCAACTCCTTATCGCCTCCTCTCTTATTCAAACAATAAATTATACTAATAATGATGATCGGTGGAACCAGAATCAAAGTCTGAATCCCACTTCTACTGCTTTGGCATAACTAGGTCCACCATAGCCATGGCCTCCTTCTTCCTCCACTTCAATCAGGCTGAGGCTATGGCAGGCCTAGCCCTGGTGTGCAAACGACAACACAAAGCAGCTATGTCCGCTGCTGTTCAGGCCACCATGCCTGACTCTGCCTCTTGAAGCCTTCTTGGCGTCGCAATCCCAACTGGGGTACAGCGCGTAACAAGGTAATGAAGATGGCCTCCACCACAGCCAGGTAAGAACCTCGCCACTCTCCTCCCTAGTCCCCTTCTTCCTCCTCCTCCAACCTGGGGTCTTCCTCCATAGCCAAGGAGGTCACCCAGGCAGCTCAAGCAGCATGACGCCCAAACTTGCATACCGCAATGAGGAGGAGCACTTCGCTCTTCCTGGACATATAGCGGCCTACCTGCCTCTTTGCCCCCACAACGGCAGTACATGACCTGGAAGTATACCCTGTTGAATGGGCGTAGAGCCTCAGGGAAGGAGCACTAAGAATATCCAGAAGAACCAACATATTACATTACACAACGAAGATAGGGTATCGACTCAGAAAAAGCTCGTATCTGCTGGCGGCCCCTTTGTCTATGAGATGGGAAAAGCGAATGGAGGTGCCAAGACAACAGGTAGCCAGGCTTTCCTCGCCGACTCTGCGCACTATCAGGCTATGCAAGGTCAGGAGTATGCAATTGCTCATCTTCCACGCGTCACTTGCAGTTAATACATGTTTGTACAACACCACAGAAATCTCACCAGCCAAGCCTGTCCAGTGTGGAGAAGGGGCCTCAGAGACAATGATCATCTGTCTTCTGTTATGCCCAGAAGCGATATACATATGGGAAGAAACACAAAAGTATTGTGGAGACTCATAACGGAGGCCCCGTTCCCAAAGGACAGGAGGACGCTGCTGGTGGGAAACGACGTCCCCAGAACATGGCAGCAACATCAGAAGCACATCTTACACCTGTTAAGACTGTACGCGCGCTGGACCATATGGAAGCGCAGGTGCGAACTGACCATTGGGAGGAAACAAATGGACAGACGAGAAGCAAAAGAGACGCCTTACAAGCTGCTGGAAACAGACATCAGTGCGCAATTGCAGAGGACATGAAGGCAGGCAAACCTGAACCCAGATCAGGCCAAGGAGCTAACAGGGAGGTTTCAGAAAAGGATACCACCCTTCTTCCCCCGAACATAACTCATATGCATTGTAAACGAATACAACGCAAAGGGTGCGTTCTATTCGAATAGCCGTAAATTTCGAATTCAACGCATATGTGTTCTATTCGGTTTTTTTCCCCAAATTTTGAAACTCGAATACAACGCATATGCGTTATGTTCGGGGGAAGAAGGGTAGCTCAAGGTACCGTGCCCACAATAGAGGGAAGCAGGCTGGTGTTCCAATTTTTCAGGGAAGGACTGCAAGAGACCTTACCAGGTATTGAGAATCATGTGGTCCAAATAAGAGAAGCATAGAGCACGTAGTGGGCAGAGGTAGGACTAGGGTTTAACCGTTTAGTGTTTAAGAGGGCAAGATACAAAATAGAGTTCAGGGTTTCAGGATGAGTAGTTAGCTTCTTGTCTTTCTCTCTTTTTGGAAGTTTTTGCTGTTCGTAGTTTTGTTAGTCCAGTTTATATAGTTCGTTCTGGAATAGCATGTACAGTTTTTGAGGCATGGGACACTGGACACTGGACCCATTCTCCAGTATGAGACTGAGCTGGGTAATGGCCCCAGTACTACGGGTTGAGATGTGGACGGATTCCCGGCCTCCTTTTGCTCATATAATGAAATCATGCTAACACCCCTGTGAACCCCTTTAGCCCCTCAAAAACCAATTTATACCCCCTTTCCTCCCCTTGACAGCCAACACTCGAAAAGAGAAAAAAGCCTAGATTTGAGCTCCTCTGGGCATGCGCAGAACACTCCCACTCAAAAAAAAAAAAAAGGGGGGGGGCCTGATTTTTGCCTGCACGGAGTGCCTGGTGCAGGTGACCCCTTGGCAACTTGCCCAGGATGCATGGTCAGGCAAGGAAGTAGCTTACCTAATAAAAGAACTGGGGAAAGGTTCGGCAAAATAGGGTTCGTGGTACTGGCGGTTTAAATGTTGTGCATAGAAGTCACACAAGGAAAGGAGAATATGGATGGACGGACATAACAACAAAAAGAGGAAGAAGAATGAAGAAGAAGAAGAAAATAAAGATCCTAACAGCAAATTGAGTTGCTCATTTGCTGCGCCATCACCACTGTGGCGGTGTTGATGGTGGATGTTTGATTGGCTATCATTTAGTATCAAACCTTGCCTTGGAAGCTTCCATGTGCTCCATTGAGTTTCTGAACTTCATGTCAAATGCATCGGACAGACGCTTCTCAAGCTCAAACTGCTTCCCGATTTGCCCGGCAAGTTTCTGGAAAGCAGAAAAAAAATCAGAACAAGCACAATCACAATGACAAAGAGGCCAAAGGATACTCTCTCTCTCTCTCTCTCTCTCTCTCTCTCTCTCTCTCTCTCTCTCTCTCTCTCTCTCTCTCTCTCTCATAACACACACACACACAAAGAAATGACAATGCTGTTATATCTGTTTGTTTTTGGTAAACGAGTTTTTGGTTTTGTGGGCCGATGCGGAAGGCTCTCCAAGGTTTTTTTTTCGGACTTTTGAGGAGGTCGGGTCGGTGCCTTCTTGCTGGAGTAGTCTTCCGTCTTAGGTAAGTTGCCTTCTGCCCTCCATCCCCTTGTGGTTTGAAAACTTTGAAATATATATGTGATATGTATACATATTTCTACGTGCAATTGTGCCACTTTGGTGGCAGACGGATGTGTGGGTCTTTTTTTTTTTTTTTTTTTTTTTTTTTTAACACCCCCTGCAGTGCTAGTGGCGCTGGTGAAAGCAGACACCACTAACACCCGGGGAGAGGCTCCATCTATTGGTGGGGAGCATCACCTGCTGGAAATCGGGTCCAGCGTCCCTTATACAAAGTGAATGCAGAATAGATCAAGAAGATATCAGGACAGTAGACTGAGGAAAACCTGCCAGCATTGATTACTCTATCCTCCAGAGGATTAACTGTGCAGGTTGTTGAGAGGAAAGGAGAATACCTCTTCGCCCTGCACCAGAGGCCAGATATCTACTTCTGGAAACTAGTACCTCCCTCCCCCCTTTTTGCCTGATCTGTTTTTTGAGGTTGTGACTGCAATGTATGAGAGGACTACTGCCTGCCAGCATTGATTGCCCTGGGTAACCAGGGGATTAACTGAGCAGGCGTTCTTGGGAGACTGCTCCACTATGCTGTTGCTGCCTAAGGGTACCTCTTCCACCCTGTAGGGGGCGCCTGATCAGCCTGAATAATCTAGTGCCCTTTAGACCAGATACAATACAACTCTTTTCATACTCCTGCCCAAACTATTGCATATCAACAATTGTTGTGGCTGTCGGGGGGAACATATCTGGAAATTCTCCTGGACTCTTCATCGGAATGTCGAGATTGACTTGAAGCCATTTGTGGAAAACGAGTATGCTGTCCTTTGTGAATTCAAAGCCTCCCCCTTTGTTCCCTCCTTCCCCGGACAAGCAATGTGTGCCATCCTGCCTCCCCTTTCCCCTCCCAGCCAGTCTGAGCAGAAGTTTCTGATTTTTTTTGTAATGTCTGCTTTCTGTGTCAAATGCTTTATATTTTCCTGCACTTTTTTCCATTGCACTCTTAATTCTGTTTCTATGAATTGTCTGACAATTTCCGCCGCTTCCCCTTCCGCCAACCTGGCCCCTTCCTGGTCGAACACACATCTTTTTGTTCATAACATCCAAATCGTCGCCTTCCTAGCCGTGGTGAATAGGTTGTTGGTGTAGCCGGGGGCTAGTTGCTTTCCCCATTCTCCTAGTAAGATGGTTTCCCATTTCCATGGCCATTCCTCCGCAATGCCCAGTTGGGACCAAATGCGATCCCACCAGCGCCACGTTAATACCGCCCCTGGGCACTTGAGGAAGATGTGTTCTATCGATTCACATACTTTGTGGCTCGGGAATCCTGCATAGCATGATTTACACCATGAAAGAGTCTCCCCTTTTTGTTCCAGGTTGGTTCTGTCAATGATCCAGTTGTTGGTGGGGAGGCATCTATGAGTGATCTGCCACTGCAGGGCGGCGAATTTTGCTGGTCTCTCCTTTAACCCCTTTAAACCATTTTATTCCTTTTATTTGGTTGTCGCCCAAATTTAAGTGTCTCTTCCATCTCTCCCTTACCACTGTCTTCACATCTACCTTAGGTCTAATCATCCTGTAAGTGTTCTTTACCGTCAGGCTAGTGAGCTTTACTTTATGACCGGTTCGGCCTCTCTTTCATTGCTATTCAAACGGATCTAGGGCTAGAGTGGACAGGGGGACTTTCGGGCGATAAGCTTGCCATTCTGTTAGTACCCGGATTCGATATAGGTTGCCTTTCTCATGCCACAGAACTGCGCCCGGACGGTACCTCACCAAGGTGTCATCCCTTTCTCTTTCGAATAAATTCACCATAGCACCATCATTTCTCACCTCCACGATGCACCCTATTTCAAAGGGAGAGTCTTCTGCCGTGGCAGCCACCTAGTCCTGTTCCTGGAAGCATTGTCCTCTTCTTAGGATCACCACCCATGCTAAGGGTATGAAGAATATCAGTTGTTCCAACCTATCTGTTAGATTACGAGCGTGTTGCAGACAGGGCTTTAGTTGTTGGGTAGTTTTCCAATCTTTGGATGTCTCGTCCCATATGTCCCTTATTCGGAGGATCCCATTTCTAACCCATGTAGCCCATTGGGGGTCCGAGCTGCCAGACACCCTGCCTTAACAATCTGTGATGGATTTGTTCCCAAACAGGGGCTGGCGCATGACTTCTTCGAACCTTTCTGGGAAGGGCTTATCTGGGATCGGCAACCTTATCCAATTTTTGATTTGGTTGGCCCAAAATTTATCTTTTGCTAGGTCTTGCCTTGTTGCTCCTCTATCACCTTCCTCACGCGAGTGTGCATTGGCTCGAGGGATGGACCAATATCGGTCCTCAATCCCGGTCAACGGGTCTACTCCCGGGGCTGTTCTTGGGGACAACCTACGGATCTGTTCCTTGGCCAGATTCCTCCATGGGGGGGTACTGGCCAAGACTAGTCTCTTAACCCATTGGATTGCTAGAGCTGTAGTTTTCAGCGAGGGATCCAGCAGTCTCATTCCTCCTTTTGTTTTAGGTTGGATCAACGTGTCCCATGCTACCCGGTTTATAACATGTTGCTGGTCCAAGTCCCCCCTCCAGAGGAAGGCCGCTAGTTGCTTCTTGAGGGCTTTGGTGCTACTCTTACCAAGGTGCCAGAGGGTTGACTTGTAGCAGATTGCTACGAACACCTCGTTATTAATAATCAGTGCCCTCCCAAAGATGAACGTGTTTTTGTTCTTCCATTTTCACATTTTTTCTAGTGTTGTTCTAGTGATCCATTCATCATTTTTTTTCAGTGGTCCCTGCGTTGAGAGAGTCACCCCTAGCACGCGAATCTGTTCCTCTAGGGGTCCCCAATCCACCTTGGGCTGCTTCGGGGGACGAACCCCATGATAGTGGATCCACCAGCCCTGTGTCTTACTTCCCCAGTTGACGGTCATGTCTGGCACCCGGGTGAAGCATGTCATCAGGGCTCTGATTTCTACCATGTTGTTATGAGAAGCCTCTGTCACTATTGTCAAGTCATCGACAAACATCGAGTAGATCGGTAGTATGGCTGCCTCTGGGATGCCGGCCAATCGAAGTCTGGAGATTTTTTTGTTTGTTCTCAGATTGGCCCCCAAGGCCTCCATTACTATGATGAAGAGAAAGGGGGCTATGGGTTCCCCCTGGCGCACCGAGTGCTGCAGTCTTATTTCCGGTGCAAGTAGGTCATTCACTTGTACCCGTGTTGTTATGTTGTGGTGGAGAATTCTTATCCAGTCCCGAAATTTTGGTCCAAAGTTCATTTTCTGTAGGCATTTGTCCAGGAGTCTCCAATCCATGTGGTCGTAGGCTTTTTCAAAATCTATAAACATTATTGTTGCTTTTTGCTTCGATTGTCTTGCTAGTTTGATCAGTTCATTGACGAGAAGCACATTATCATGAATGCTCCTGTTGCGCATGAACCCCCTATGTGCGGGGTGGATTATCTCCTCCAGTACAGGTATCATCCTGTTGGTCAGTGCCTTGGCCACAAACTTGTATACCACTGTGAGGAGGGTGATAGGTCGGTACTTTGGCGTTGAGCCACACAAACGTGGCCAACCTTGCATTTTCTATTATATTGCTTATCTATACTTTTTCGTTATGGATGACTTGTAATGATTTGTGAAGGGAATGCGAGAGAGAATCTGGGGTCTCTTAAAACAACACACATTTCGACCTTGCTAGCTCCGTGTCTTGGCAGTTTTGACCGGTTAGGATCGGGCTCGTACTAGCGAGCTATTCTCTCTTTTGTGGTTGGATATGTCTCGTTGGTTTTGTTGATTATACATGGCCTAATTCTTTGCCCTGCTTTAGAGCATGGGGTATTCGGATGTTTACGGGTGGCCACAAGTTCTCTTTGGGGGGAATGTATGTTTTGTGGACTGGTGTGGAAGACTTTCCCTGTTTTCTTGGACCCTTAGCAGGCGGGGTCGGTGCGTTCTTGTTTGAGGAGTCTTTTGTCTTAGGTAAGTTGTCTCTTATCTTCTTCCTCCTCTTTGGCAGTGACGCAAGTGTGTAGTTTGAGATGAATGTCGGGAATGCCAATGTTGTTATATTTGTTYGTTTTTGGTAAACGAGTTTTTGGTTTTGTGGGCCGATGCGGAAGGCTCTCCAAGTTTTTTCGGACCTTTGAGGGGTCGGGTCGGTGCCTTCTTGTTGGCGTAGTCGCCTTAGGTAAGTTGCCTTCTGACCTCCAACCCCTTATGGTTTGAACTATATATGTATACATATGTATATGTGCAAGTGCCTCTTTGATGGCAGACAGGTGTGTGGGCACTTGGCGTTGAACCACACAAACGTGGTCAACCTTGCATTTTTTATTATATTGCTTATCTATATTTTTTCATTATGGATGGCTTGTGATGATTGTGAAGGGAATGAGATAGATAATCTGGGGTCTTTTAAAACAACACACACAAACAAACAAACAAACAAACAAACAAACAAACAAACGAGATTTATTTTGGGGGCCACCAGTGCGATTGCTGAAAGATACGTCAAGCCCTTGATTCATATCAATGTGCCACTACCTCAAGCCTGAAAAGTCCCCACAGGGACCACACTAAACATCATCATATAACTCATGCCTTTTCCGTACTGATTTGTTGCCTTCCGGGATGAAATGATTCTCTGTGGTGTCAGCTTGATAAGCTTCGTGAACAAGTCAAAAAGTTTTCCAATTGGTACAAGGATGAGCATGACAAGACAAAGAAGCATAAGTGGAATTGTGAAAGAAGTGGAGGCAAGTAGGACGTAGAAGCAAAGCGAATGAGGCGGAGAATGACAATTACGACAGGGTGTCGTAGGTATAGGGAGGCTGTTAACGGATAAGGTGGAGCTAACGGACATTGTCAAGTCAACTCCATTTTGTCCGGTAGCTTCACCTTCTTAGCCTTGTCTATTAACGGATAAGACACAGAAACGTTGTCAGAACCATTGGTTCTCGAATCGAGTCTCGGCCCTTAAGACATGGTATATGACAAGAATGTGCACAACAAAGGAATCAGGAAAGAGAGCAAGAAGAGAATGAAAGGACCAGACAAACGACAAAGATTGGTCCACCGGGACCAAAAATCCCAAGACGGGACTTAGGGCCACTAGGACCGAGGGCCCTAACACGGCGGTCGCACGACACATGAGAAAATAACATGTGAATATGGGGTCATTAAAGTTTTCCAGGAAATTGGTAAAAGCGGAGGACCGCCAAAAAAAGAATAATACCCGGATGCTAGTACCATGGAGAAGGGTAGGGCTCGACAACACCAAGAAAATAATGCCTTGATATCACTATGGAAGGCGCCAGCATGCGGCCTAGGGAGCCACCCAATTACGTCATGAGAAAAACCTAAGTGCAAGGGAACCTAGCAAGGAGGCCTCGAACCGATTAGTGGGCACCGGCTAGACAAGGGCCCAAGCACAAGGAATTTGAGGAGTGGTGGCCTTCGAATGCCAAAATGAAAGGGGCCTAGAAAATAAGAGAGAGTTTCGATTTTGAGGCTCTTAGGCCTTGAAATTGCGAAGGGACTCAAGAAGGATGCAATGGATCACAAGGGCGTTAGTTTTTTAAGTGTCGAGGTATGCTTAACCTGAAAAATAAGTTTCTAGTGTGATCCAGGATAAAACGGCTACCAAACGTATGAAGAAAAAAGCTTAGGAAGAGAATGGAAGAAGTAGGGGAGTATAGGAGTGAAAAAGGGCCAAGCCGCCACATCATGGTCAATGCCCCTTCACAAATGAAGCCTAGGGCCTTGAACAGACCTGCATCAAGACTAGATATAGACAAGCAACGAAATGCAATGCATGGGACACAATTGATGCATGAGATGTAGGAGACAAGCACTTAAACTGGCCGAGATGGTAAGCAGAGGCCGCCCTAGTGAGGCGACAAGGACCACGTGACTTAGTCAACGGGCCTACGCTGAGGGGCGACCCCCTACCTCAATGACGTCGCTAGACTCTGCACTTAGTGAATGGATGTGTGGCCCAAGGAGGACGCTAGCCTACGCGTAAAGGAAGACGAACTTTCAAAGAACTCCTTCGAGTGCATGAGTATTGGAAGGAGCAATTGCCTGCAAACACAACAAGGTACCGAAGAACGGACGCTTGCGAAGGATCAGCAAGACTACCCACCTAGCGCGAGGGTTGAGCTACATCCCCAATATCAAAGCTCTCTCGTCCGTGTGCCCACCCCCATCCATCTCAAAGCACTAGGTCGGGGTGACTCTGTGACGAATGCTCCGCGCCCTGGGCCTGCGTGTAGGCGGAGCTGAGCCAACTGGGACCCGCTGAGGGGTCGACTCAGGTTCAAAAGTCTAACAGGGTGGGGCCCTACAACGTGTAGGAAGGTTGTAAACTGATAAGGTGGAGTTAAACAAGCAGTACACCCGGTCCTAGCGAACCACGTGTGGGCCTAGCGGCGCCACACTAATGAGCCAAGCTTTGCTGTTTTGGCTGGTGCCGCCAGTCATTGTGGTCCGGTGGTGGAATTATCAGACAGGTAGATTTACCCTCTCCACTTATGGATAAATGACCAAAGATAAGGTGAAGATAACTCCACCTTGTCTGCTAGGGAGGCTGTTAACGAACAAGGTGAGTTACCTTCTCTATCGACATACAAGGTGGAGAAGGAGGAAGATAGTGACAAGGTGTAGGGAGGTTGCTAACAGATAAGATGAAAATACTGGGCAAGGTGGATTTACCTTGCCCGTTAAGCGACAAGGCATAGATGGCATGTTGGGCGGGAGGGGGTAAGAGGACAAGGTGGAGAAGGTGGAAGTTAAACCACCACTACCTCCGAGCCTGTTTTTGCCGACCCTGATTTTCACTACACACCGAGTTTTGCCGAGCCTGGGGTCCGTTGTGTTTCTGTTCTGGTACTCTTCTGAAAAAGAAACAAAAAAAGCACGGCCAGACTTTCAAAAAACAACGTACTCACAACCACAAAAAAAAAAAAAAGAGAAAAATTTTTAAAAAATGAACACCCCTCTGGACGTGATACAAGGTAGATATCTGCCCCAAAGTTGTTGTGCAGTATGCTCTCAGTGAGGGCTTCACGGCAGGGGTGTCAGCTCCACGAAAGAAGATAAGGAATAAAAAAAATTGAAACTGAACTTAGGGCGGAAAGCGGGCTCAGTACGTTATGCAAAGTTGTAGTGTGGGCATGCCCTCCTTCACGAAGTGTCAGCACCCCATGGACCGCGCCGTGCCTCCCTGGCAGGGCATGAAAACAAAAGAAAGGAAACAAAACAAAAACAGCAGCAACGACAACCTGAAACTGGACACAATCGTAGTTAGATACTTTCTCATGAGTATTGGTGTGAGCACAACTTCGTGCACGGCCTTCCTGGACTTGGGGTTTTGTTTTTCTTTTTGCTTTTCGAAGGGGCCCACAAGGCCCAACTGCCGAGCCTCTGCCAACCCCCGAAAAGTTCGGAAAAAGTTGGAAAACAGGCACTTTTCCCATTTTTCCCAACACTGGTGGAGGTAGTGGTGGCTTAACGGAAAAGATAGCAAATTGGGCGCTACAATGCTCCCTCTCAAGGGGAGTGTGGCTGGCTGTTAGATCACTGTGCTTGGAGTTACCTGCATTTGTTTTTCTAAGGGTTCCATGAAGCAAATACTCATACGGACGTTGGACACCTTTACTAGTACAGTTGCCTTTTAGGTATTAAAAAAAAAAAAGACCTTTTAGGTCGCCTGTGACTTTGGGTGTGCATAGAGAACAAAGGTCTCCAGTGGCTTCCAACTACCCAGTCGACAGCCACGCTGAGCTTTTATGCAATTGTAGATTTCAAACTTTTCCGATGTTTGACTCAACTTGTGATTTCCTACATCTATGATTCTACATACACCCAGTCGACAGGCATGCAGAAATCACTGATGTCAATAAAGCCTTACAAATTGTTACGCGATGATTTCTTCAGTACTCTAATGAATGGCGTAGCTGCACTGAAACTTCTCAAACAGTATTTCATGCTCAAAGGAAGCCAATACCTTGTTAGCTTCCGGGACTCCTCGCATCAGCATGGACATTTTGGTGGTGTAATCCTTCACTTGATTTCGTAGCATTGCGATGATCCCATCCTTCTCCTTCATCGACACCTCGTGCAACTTCACCATAGCCGCCTTCTCTTCCTGCTTGCCAAGGTCAAAATATGCAATCAATCAATTCTGAATTTCAGAAATGAAATAAAAAATCAAAATCAAATCGAGATCAAAGATCAAATCAAAAATCAAAATTAGATTTAAAAAAATAAAAAATCGAATCAAACATCAAATCGAAAATCAAAATCCAATCGAGGAACAAGTAAGCACAACTGTGATGAAGTTATTTATCCTCGTTTTTGCCTTGTTATGAAGTTATTCATCCTGACATCTCTGTCAGTATTCTTTGTCATGGGCTCGGGTACAATGGGCCCAAGTTACCATCATGGGCCCAAGTCCCTTCAGACCCGTTGTAAGGCCCTAGTCAATCTGGGTCTACTAGTTACTTGTCGCACGGGGGGAGGGGGG